CCTATTCATCGAGAAAACCGGTTACGGTAATCGTATTTAAAGCGTTCCACGTTGTAGGCACTGCTGATTATACGCAACGTCCGTAACGGGCGCGATGCTAATAATTTAAAACGACTCGTATAAGCGACCGCCGTTCACCGGATCCAACTTTACATTTCGTTCAGAGATCTCCCAGGTAACCGTGGATCTCCCTTCCCAAGTCCAATAGAAACTTTCTTCTCCCCTACGGTCGAACAGAGGCATTTTATTGAAGTGACTTCTCCGTCGTTAAAGACGGCGGCGTTGAGTTGCGCGAGCCGATCGTGCAGGATCGTTCGGAATCGAACAGGGCGAAAGGGAGTGGAAGATGACAAGAACGAGTCGCGTAGAGAGATAGAAAGATAGATGGAGAGAAAGAGAGAGAAAGAGAAAGAGAGATAGACGCGAAACAGTTCCCTATTTGTAGCGAACAGGAGACACTGACGAGAGTCGGGGAGGCGTGCTAGACGTGGAATATGTCTGGCGTATGTGGAGAACCTCGTACACTCCCTCGGGGTTGTTACGGGGGCATTCCGGCTTCTGGTATGTAATATCAGAAATTCCTGTCTACCTGTGTGTCGCCTGTTGCCCGTGCACGTTGTTCCAATTGGAACAGGCGGGGCACACGGTGCGTCGCGAAAGTGGTATTACTTCTACCGGCGTGCAGGCCCAGGAGGATGAGCTTGAGCATCCGCCCTGTGATTCGTCGAATATTCGGAGAACAAAGCTATAGCGGTCGAGTCCTACGGCGGAAAAAATTAACTAGACGCGGAACAGAGATTTCGTTTGACCAGACAAATCTGTCCGCAAAATGGTTTTTGATTCTTTTTCTCAAATTTTGATTTCGCGCTGACATTGCCTCGTTGTTGGTGATTTTGCTCGACTCTGAAGAATCACAGAGGCAATTCCTGCGGAATTGTTGGAATATTTCGGCTCGTGAGTTCTTTCCTTCAAGAACGAATGTAGACAGTTGAGAGACAGGCAATTGGGATTAGATACTGATAGATAACGCAAAATTCAAACGATCAAAGATAAAGATGAAAATGAAATAAAAATCGCGTGTCAGAGAATGAGAGGAGGATCCATAACGCGGAGGACTTTCGGCAAACGCGTGGCGTGTTACACCTAAAACGGACCTCGATCTCGCAGCACAGAAGGGTAGTTTTAGCCAGAGGCATCGGTTGTCTGCATTCGACACATTGTCAATTTGCCGCTGCTCGTCTCGCCTGTTTAAAATCGATCGCGTACAGGCATATATGCCTGTGCGTGTTTCCGGCGCCCGAGTGTGCCGTGGGTTGCTGTTGTTGCAATTCGTTTCCGCTAAATACCGTACAAAGTAAAGAAAAAAAGCTGCCAAAGTTTAAAGAAACGAAAGTAGGCAGGAGGGAGGGAGGGAAAATGCAACGTAGTTAGTCTCGAATGTAAAAATACGTCTGGCCTGATCGATCCGAGCTACTCGAAATTTTTTATTTCGAGTCCGAGGTAATTCGAAACTCATTCGAAGAATATTCTCCGGAGGTACGACTACACAAACACTTATCCGCCTATTGTACGGTTCTTCTTCTGGCGATTTATATTTTGAATTTTTCCATCGAAAGTGCATCGAACCCGCTGGCAACCGAGCAGCCAAAAGTACGATCGTAACGATAATTAAACTGTAATCAACTAGTCGCGGAAAGTGGATGCAGCTGGTGACCGAGAATAAAAACTGCAAACGGCGAATATTTGAAATATACGGCTGCATTGTAGCCGGAGGATTCCTGCGGTGTGCGCGCGAATCGCGCCGTGCATTCTCTGGTTATGTCTGTTTCATTAAACCGGAGAATTCCAGCGTATTTTTGGAAGCGTAGGAACCGAGCGAAACCGCTGGTTACACCATTTTCCGTGGACCGTCAACGCTCGTTCGACCGCGCATATTGCCCGCGCGACGCTCGCGACCTGCCGGTGATCGAATATCACCGACCGACGACGTTAATTATTTTCAATGCGATTATCCCTGTATTTGCGCACGCTGACCCGAATGTTTTTCTTGAGAGACTGCGCGGAATCAAGGGAAACGGATTCGTGCTCGAAAAATCGCAGTCAGATCGGTTCACTTCAATATCTAATACCTGTCTGCGCGGTACGGGGGCTGAGCTATTTTGAGAACAGTATTTCTCGGATATTAACTCTCTACGTTGTAAATTATTTTCATATTAATGCAAGAATGCCGAATAGTCGAACGACGAAGCGTTTCTGCCGTGTTTATTAAATTTCTTTGACATCCGCCCCTTCTCGAAGCAATATGGCTTCTTGGTGGCATCTACGCGTGGCATTTTCCGCGAAATCTGCATCTCCTTCGAGAGAATTTCTCGAAGTTTTTCTTCCATTTCTCCCAGCTTCTTTCTCGCGAGCAATTGTTCTTTTCCCCTTTCCTGCCGACTAGTTGTTTTTTTTTAATTTTTTTATTTTTATTTTTATTTTTACTTTTATTTTTCTTTTTTTTAGAAATTTTAACGCCCATCGATGGTGTTCGTAAGTCGCGCGAACGATCGTCGACGGAAGCAACAACGATTAATTGCATTGTTGTCCTGACAAAAACGAATTTCGGTTATTTGTCGGCGCGTAGTATTTCAACGTTTATTACGAACTTATTTCTTCACTGAAATAACCGCTCCCGGTGACGCACGCCGCACCGCACCGTGCTGGACAAGTATGAATTTTCGCTTCGACGTTCGGGGAATAAAGCGTTTCAACGTTGTTTTTTTTTTTCCTCTTTTTTTTTTATCGTGCTGCACAAACGGCGCAATTGAATATTTTATCTTTCATTATTTATTCGATCATCTATCGTCACGTGCAAATAAGATCCAGAAACGGAGTATTCGTAATGTGGAATAAGTGAGTTTTAATTTGCAAATATACGAGTTTCTTTTATTCCAACACGTCTGTCAACATTTGCTTGCGTCAAATTCGTCCCGTGTATCTGTCGTGACAAATATGAATTGTTTTTTATAATGTTCTTACAACGCTACGATTGATCATCGTTCATAATCCAAGGAGCATAGTACGTAATGAAAAGTCACGAAAAGATTCACAAGACGTAGCAGAAAAATTATTATATAATTCATATTTACAAGAACGTGTATGTGGATCGTGCAGCCACCACGTCACACCATACCAGGAAGATGCGTGAGGATGCTAATCGATAAGTTAAACGCACGACGACGTAGTAACACCAGACTACAATAGTCCGGCGTAAACGTACTCGATCTACTTCCTCGAACGCGCTTATAACCATTGCTCTCTTACGCGCGTACGTAAGAACCCTCCGCAATAATTTCAAATCTTTCCAAAGTACCCGTGACTTCACACTCCGTTTCGTTCGGTTACCTCTCCGAGGAGGGTTGAAAGTTGAAAATTTCCAAGTATCGCGATAAACATACCCCACGAATCGCGACAAACTGCCGCGTCAGACGACTCCAGCGTTTGGTCGACTGTCGGCACGTTTAGAGAAGAGTTAAGTAGAAGCGGGCTGAAGGTTTTCGTCGATAGGTGAGCAGAGTGATCGCTGGCATATTGCTCGGTGGTTGACGTTGGAAGCCGGCGCGGCCGACTTCCGTCTTCGCTCGACAGCCACTACCTTATAAAAAAGGGTAGCTATTGAATTAAAAGGACGTAGCGAATAAAGTGGCCGGGCTGAGCGGCGTACAGCCAGCGAAGAGGGAAAAAACGCGAAAGTGGGAAAGGGATGGAATAGACGATAGGGTGGCGGAGGGTGGCTGGCGGTCGGTGGCGGAACAAGGACAGAGGAAACGTGGAAAAAAAGTTGGAGGAAACGAGAAGGAATCCTCTTCTCTCCTTCGTCCCGTCTGGCCCCGACGCGCACCCTGCAACCCCCTGGCATCCACCGGACGCCGTGCTTACCGGCCATAAAAATAAAATTTCAATAAATCTCCGGCAGGGGGTAAGCTAGTGGGGCATCCAGAGGGCGGGCTACTCGCTCATTGGAGCTGCGTCCGTGGCGGTTACCGCCTACCGCAAAACAGAGACAGCTAGACTACAGTAACCTGGATAGAGTTTACCTCGGATATGGACAGCCCCGCCAACCACCGTAGTCCGCCAGCAAAACTCTGCCACTACCGCTTCTCGATTTCCTTCCGTCTCCCTTTTTTTCTCCATTTTTACTCTTTTTCCTTCATCCCCTTCTTCATCCGCGAGACTCCAAGTATACTCCTCTTTCTTCCTTCTTCTACGTCGTCGTCGTTGTCGTCGTCGTCGTCGTTGTCGCCGTCGTCGTCGTCGTCGTCATTGTTGGATGTTGCTGCTTTATCTTTTCTTATATATTCTTCATCCCGCTTTTTGTCCTGCCAATCTGTCTCTATCGGTCCTCCAGTCGCGTAACATTCCCGGATAAAGTGCTACCGGAAGTACGCCGGTTTCATCGGTGCGCTTCACCAACCCCCATCGGCCGGACCTTATGAACCACCTTAAGTAGACCGCTGGTCCCCGCGATCTCCAGCCAACTGTTTTTTACACGTAAGACAGATGCAACGTCCGATACACTCAAATCACTGAGAGTAACCTTGAGCACACAGATGCAACGTGCTCGCTCCCTTGCCAACCCTTGCTCCGAAAACTCAGCCCTTACAACCGTGTTGTCCTTAATCCCTCCTCTGCGACTCCGAGCTTCTCGGATCATTTTCAGACGTTTCCAAAATTGGTCTGAAACGCTGTCTCCTCCTGAGGTGTACCCAAGCTTGTAGGTTCCCTTTTCAGATACGTACGTTCCTGGTGGCGGCAGTGAGTCTGAAGCACGGCAGCGATTTAATATCACGCCCACAAGCCGAGCGCCGGAGTGAGAACAAGCTGGCGCGTGCAACGGGGGAGAAGAAGAAGCGCGCAAGAGGGTGTTTCGCGCGACAGAGAGAGGGACATCCGCGGCTATCATCGGCGGTGGGGGAGCTCGGATATGGCAGCTAGGCAGTCCGCTGTTTGCCTTGCTGGGGCACGGGCCGTTCTTTCGATACGTCTCGTCGTGTACAACTCATCTTGTTCGCGTCCAATTCACGAGAAATATTCGCAATATCTTTTGGTGGTTACATACTGTTACGTATACTTGTTAGCGCGCAATTGTCAAGGGTGGCTCGCGGTGACACGCGGATTTTCTATAACCGCGTCCTATCTGTGTCGGGGGTTGCACACCCCGAGAACGGCATGCTCAACAATATCTCCGCCGGCGGTTCGGTACACGGTATTTCCGGTAAGTAGAACGACGCAGAAAGGTGCGAGCAACCAGTTTTTCCTCCTTTGTTCCCTTTTTCTCCATTCCCCCGTCGAATCACGTGTGTTTCACTCGTCGAGCACTTCTGGCGATTAACTACGTGGCCCAGGGTCTGAGATCTGAGACTCTGTGAAGTTTCACGGTTTTCCAAGTAGGGATACTTCAGGGTTCGTTGAAATAATTTTGTTGTTCGTTTGTATGTGGTTTCATGGTGAAAAAGTGGAAGAAGGTTCTTTGTGCTGTGTAAGGGTTGAAATTGATTTGGTCGTTTCTCGCTCCATTTTATTCTTGAGGAAGGGTACGATGACGTCTGGCTTCTGTGTTTATGGTAAACGAGTACAGAGTAACGTTTTCGTTATAGTTTCTTTCCTGAAAAGTGGAGGTTCCAAGCTTTGTTATTGTTTCACGTACGAGCCAGGTTTTCGATTGTCAGGTGTTCCACTTGTGGAAACGATGATTTGTGATGATAGACGAGAGTATTACTTTCTCTGCTCTTTAAACATGTACAGTGACAAAGCCAAATATTTGCACTTTATTAAAAGATTGAGTGGTTTTAAGAGTAGCGACGGTGAACGATGGTCATTCATTCTTTGTTATCAACGCAATTACGTTTAAAAATTTAATCGTTAAAAAGAACTAGATATTTGAGAACGTCGTTATCGGAGAAAGATTTTAATACAACGTTGAAGTATGCTTTGAAAATGATCTTTCAAATGATAAACATTGTTCTTTCGCACAGAACACGTTTGAACTTCAGAGATTGAAATTATGGTTTTATAATTCTCGATTATTTTTCTTGCGTAAAAATCTCCTTTTATGAACGTTTAAAGAGTAACATTAGCTAAAAATATGGGAGTGTTGAAAATAACATCGCCATTTACGTTTAAAGGGTTGTTAATTATAAAAGTACGATTCATATACCAACTACAAAAAAATTTGTTAAAAAAAAAAAGAAAAAAAAATAACAATTCTACGCTTCTGATAGGAGGTATTCTGAAACGCGCAATCGCTGACACAGTTAAGCAATTTTACCTGCTGAGTTATATTTTATTCGTTACCTGAACTTATGCGTTTTAACATAAAATATTTATAAACTTGATGAACAGTAATATATTCATTTGATTATTTATTTTTATCGTGAAATTTCAAGCTACGCTCTGAGGAAACACTGTCCGACGGCGCGCGTTCTTTTATATCAGCATGCAACCTATCCGACTAATCCGACATCAGCGTGAAAGACGTGAAATGATGATCTAAATTAATGTCACTCTTCATTAATATGTAATCAGTGTCTTTTCTCTGATGAATTCTTCCAATTTATTTATATATTTATTTATTTTATTCTGATGAGAACATAATAAATTCAAGTTGTAAACGTCGCTTACCATCCCAAACACATTGCAAATCTTTCTTCGTCCTTGTTAGTTGAACAAAACGCAAGATAAAAATTCTAAAATCGAAAAATGAAAAAAGAAAAAAAATATTTGCGCGCTCAAACATCAGTCAACAGTTCCGTTTTTTATACAAAGCCCTTGGATTTTTGTGAACAAAATTTTCTGAAGGTAGTAAAAATCGACGAAACAGTATCGCCATTCCCATTCATCCCCATCAGCGATCGTGCAGAAATTATACGTCGCGTGCATCAAACGCCGCGGTCGCTCTTCAGTTTTCCCTGTCGAAAGTCACGCGAAACGGAAGGGAAAAGTTTGGCCGAACGATAAAAAGGAGAAAAACTTTTTGGCACCGGGTACGAACACGTGGCGAACGCCTGTTCGCTTCTCTCCTGCCCAAGGAAACCGCTTCTCGAGTTTGATGACCTTAATTACTTCAACGCTGATTACATTAGGCGGGAAGTTAAGGAACGATTTAGAGTTGGAACTAGAGGCGGTAGAAACCGAGCGCGACGTGTTCGCTTTAATTAAAGAACAATTAACCGTCGATTTTTGTCGTCCGATTCATTCACTTCGTCTTGAATTCGTCCTACGACGCGTACCAATCTTTTTTTTCTCCGCTGGAAACGTCCGATGCTTTAACGTGACTTGCGAAACACCTTGCCCAGTTTCCTCTGAAAATCGTGACGTTCGTTTTTCATGGAAACGTGACGACGACGTAACAGCTTCATCAAGAGCGTTAATTTCATTTAATAGTACATCGATGCATTGAGAGTATACGCTATTTGCTATTTTCGATGATCGAAACGAATATCGTGCTATTCGTGGATTAAGTGATACATGAATATATTGATCAGACATCTTCGAAAAGGCTATTATTAGTGGCCAGCATTTTAATTAATCACAAACATATGTCGTATCGCGGTATCGCGACTCATGCTGTCTTCTTCTTCTCCTGGTTGCCAGTAACAAAGTAAAGTAAGAAATAAAAATCTTGGGAGAGGAGGAAAGAGAAATAAGAAAATAATCAGAGGCAGGTGGATCCGTTGTCTTAGGGCGCTATCCTTTTAATTCGATTAAATAATCCGATAATCCGAACAGGTAGAATAGGATTAAACAATGGTTCTTGGCGTTAATGAGAGGCGAATGGTTGCGAAGCAAACAGAAAGAGGTTGCAGCACTAATCCTCGCGAAGCGGCGCGTTCGCACTAATTATATCTTGTTTGCCAATTTTTATCAAAACTTGTCCCGAAGCAGTTAAGCGAATTTAATTTGCTAGCACTCGTATAAATTTAACATTCATTTGCCCGTCTTTTGTTTTTCGATTTAAATGCCTTTTAAATTCGAAAGGATCGAAACTCTCGTTTATGATACCGCGCGTCAAAGGATTGGACGGTTTGCGACTTTTGCGACACATGCTGTTCCATTCTTTATATAAAATACGCTTTTTTTTTCGCCGATTCAAATTGATCTTGATCGAGACCAATTAAATTACGCGGGTCGTGGCGCGGATCACATACTGACAATTCAATTCAACGCGCTCTTTTTTAGTGAAAAGTTCGCAGCTGCGGGACAAAAATTGTTGGGAAATTCACGAAAGAATCTCTGTATCGGTGTTCTCTCTTCCTCCCGCTCTTTCTACCCTCCACCTCCCCCCTCCCGCTCTCCGTTGTTTCTCTTTGACTCTCTTTCCGCAGAAACGAAAAACCACGATGAGGAGATCAAAGGAACGTACCGAATTTCGGACGGGCGAGAGCGAGGGTGCTCGTAAATAGCGGATTTCGCCCGGTAAAATCGAAATAAAAATCATCAAGACCCATAAAAGTAAAACGGAAAATAAAGACCAAAGTCATAAAGTTCATTCATACGGTGTTTCCATTGAGTAAACGGTCGTTGCACGCTGGTGGTCGTCGTCGAGCATCGTATCTTTGCCTTCGACGCTACGTGAATATCTCTTTCGCCGTTTTTATGATCCTTTCGACTCGCCGATTGCCTCCAACTTTTTTTTTTCTCTCGATCTCGTCTATTATTCACGCCTATCAATCAGATGGCGTATTTTTATGAGTCTAATTCTCGAGTCTCATCGGATTTCCCATTACTTTTCATTTGCCACTTACGTCATTTTTTCGTTTCCTTTCACGCTGAAATATTTTTGTCGCTCGTCTAATCACGGGCAGAAAACCGGGACGAATCTGGTAGATTTTCGAGCGAAACTCTATCAATGTGAACAACGTAATGTCGCGATGGAACGCAAGAAGCTCAGCAAAGTTATTTGGTCGACGATTCACAACGAAATGGCGCGCGATCGATATTCATCGGGTACGCAAGATTGCATTAACGCGTGCACGATGCGTCGGAATATCGGCCCGACAAAAACGATTTTCCCTGCCGGGACATTTGCATAACTTAGCGAATGTTCGATCTCTCGCGAAAATATGTGCCGGCCGTTCGAAATTTTCCAACTATTTCCGGTCGATACTTCCGGCGCCGATTCGAATTCCAGACTATTAACGATATTACGCGTGTGCGGTCGCATTAAGCATTTTGGATACGCGCCGCGGCGATCCAGACGGTCCGTATGAATCACTATTAGCCGACCGGATTATAAAATATCGATGCAAAACTGCCGGCCGGGTCAGCGTGTTTATGAAACCAATAAAATTCCTCGGTTACTATATTATCGTTTCGTTGTAACCCGTGTGACTTCATAACCTGCCTGATGTACGATCCGACGTTTAATTAACAGCGCCCGTGATATCGAGAGAAATGCACTGATTGCGACAATGATCCTGATACCACTGATTTATTATTCACAGAGAGAGTGATTTGACAAATGCCACACTTCGAGGAGATAAATTCTCCATTTGCTGAAAATCATCTTCCGACGGAGAGAGAGCGCGGCTTTGGCGAAAAATTTGTTTGTTCTCATCCAATAGACAGACTTTGTAAATCCTTAAAATTTAATACTCGGCTGTTCGTTTAATAAACCATCAGTTAGAACAGCGACGATTAAGGAATATAAATTTTCTAGAAAAAAATTCGGCTTGAAATGGAGCCGAAGTTGGAGCAGTGGAAAAATGACAAATTATTCAGGCATTTGGTGACAAAATCAATCTACAATTTACAATTCAATTGATAACTGCCAGATCTGACGTGCATCCTATTGAAAAGGGATTAAAACAGTCTCTCGAATTATTCGCCCGCTAAATAATACAGTATCTCCTATTACCAAAATTATGACATCTCATTATTTTAATTAATTTTGCAATAATCTCGACCACTTTTCAAATCACGTCAATCCACGTTTGCCGGAGAACCGACGATATCACGCTGTCAACCCCCTGTGTCGTCTAAATTTCGACTCGTTCTACTCGACGGGATGCCACGACCTCCGCGTTCCGCGGTTTCTCTGGCCCGCCGCCCTTAAACTCGAGGCATAAAAAGTCCTCGGATCACCCAGTCGGAGACTAGAAACTAGTTTAGTCGATTACGTAAGCAAGTTTGACAAAGCACAACGACGCGCGATGGCCGCGGGTCCCCTGCGCGGGCACTTCAGTCGTCCTCCACCCACGCATTCTAGAAATTTTCTACGACCACGTAGCCGCGCGTGAACACGTGTTCGTGCACGACACCGGGCCTGGATGTGTGTGTTTGCTCGTCTAGAAGCCGGAGGCCGGTGACGATTCTCGCACCTTCGTGCTAAGTGATCCGTGCTCCCCTCACCACCGGCCACTCAGCTTCTGCTCCTATACAAATTTAAACTACATAGAGCAGAAAAGGGAGTGAGCGTGACGAGGGGGCCGGTGGCGGCCGCGGGGTAACTACAGAAAACTGTAATGGCTCGTTTTTTCTTTTTCGCGTTTCGCGTTCGCAGGAGCGAAGGATCTTCATGCGCAGGACCTGAAGAGGCACGAGAAGTTGGACGGCGTGCTCGGAGTGAATTTGGGGAGCGGATTGTCTGCCGGCGGTGGCCTCACGCTTCATCAGGAATTAATCATGACTATGCCTGGCACGGGTAAGCGTTTTACCGTGTTTCAATATACATCCGTTTCTTTCCTTTCCCTTGGCTCTCTCTTTCTTTCACACGTTTTTCTTCGCCGTCGACAGCCAAGCCTTGATACCGTTTCGCTGTAGGATAAATTCTAAATTTTGTTTTATCGCGTGCGCGCGATCGACTGCGCTTGACAGAGAAGGAAACGGTAAATCACGTCGAACTCGAAATCGGCGAAGTCTCGGTGTCAGACTGAGAAACCTGGGAAGAATGAAAGAAACGAGAAAGTGGGAGTTTCTAGAACGTCCAGGCGATTCTTTTTAACACTATGAACGATTTAAATCACGGGACTTGCACTAAAGGATCGATATGTCTTTGTGTTAAGTTTTATACTTTTCATAAAATCAATCCCTATTCCCGTATCACTCCGTATTCCCTGAAATTCATTGCGGGTAAACGAATTGGACATTTCTACCGTTTCTGGCAGTTTCTAGCAGTGAATTCTCTTAATCCATAAAATTTCGCGAGTTTTAACTTCATTTTAGTTGAACTGTTTATGGTGGAATGAAGGAAGACAAGTTTCGCGGATTTTAACTCTATTCGAGTTGAAGTATTTGTAGCATGGCGGAGGAAAATGAGTTTTGGTTGAATTTAGAAAGACTGGAAAATTTGTTTTCTATCGCAGGAAACGCGGCGGCGATCGGACAGGGCGATGACAAACCCGCCAAGCAGAAACGGCATCGGACGAGATTCACACCAGCTCAGCTGAACGAGCTTGAAAGGTGTTTCAATCGGACACATTACCCGGACATCTTCCTCAGGGAGGAAATAGCTGTGAAAATCGGCTTGACGGAAAGTCGAGTCCAAGTAAGTGTTACAAACATCGTTGCAAAAGTCTCGAATAATTTTAAAACAGCTAGTAGTTAGAATCAGACGAGATTCTCTGCCCAAGCGATAATTTCACGCGACGTTTCAATGAGAGGTGCCAGTTGCTTAATTCTGTATGGTTGTTTGTACAACAAGAGACGCGTTTAATAGGCATAACTAGGTGGTACCGCGAGTGTCTCGAAATCAATTTCGCTGGCCTACCGGCGGCTTTTCGGATTAAATCGAAACTTGGAGTTGCGTTAAGCCTTCACCCTACGGGGTCTCGAATTTTGGTGGACTCCGACTCGCTGCGGGGCAACCGCAAAACTTTCGCGAAACTTTCCCTATCTCTGTGCGTACGCCGGATTCAAGGATCACCGGGAATGGCCGCGAGAGTTTGCCGAAAACGCGACGTTTCCGTCGAAATTTCAATTACATTCTCAAATAACGTCTAACTTATTCACAACAGATAAACATCTATAAGATAGATTATTTAACGAAGAAGATCATAAATATTGGATTTTCACCGTGTGAACGATAGCGCAAGGTATCTATTCGGCTAATGAGATACTTGAACTTACATCAGTCTAATAACATAAATTTATGGCACGCTATTAAAGAACGATGCGCCGAGCCAGCACCTTTAAAACGGAAGTTGATGAAACCGATACTCGAGACTTGACCAACGGGACACGGCTCGCGTTTCAACCCTTCCCCCCTGGCCATCAACCGGCTGGAGCTTTTTTAAGTCTCCGGGGCACGTCTAGAAAAACGAAGCTAATAGAAATTCATGAAAATTTTATTCGCAACTCGGAAGCGTCAGTCAAGCCAGGCGTCGCGCTGCATATCAAACAGTTTTCACTCGTCTTCTTTCTCCGTGTCGACACACACGCCGATCCCCTGTCCGTGTGCGCGACGTTTTCTACCGGGTTCTGGATATTTTTCACACGATGGTTTATGAAGAGATTCGTTCGCCACCATTATGAGTGTTAATCTCACCGTTCTATGACATCGCGATCGACGTGCTCCAAATATACACCACGGACAGTCCAGTCATTTAAACCTGCAGACAGATTCTACTTATTTTCGTCTACCAATCTTCTTCATCCCCCTTGCGTCTCACGACGAACGTTCTCGCCGAACGATCAACCGATCGCGCGACACATCCCCTAGAGTTCCATCCGTATCTTACAGTCGAACGTCTTCTCCCTGTATTCCTCGTCATCCCTCCACTCGAGTAAACGTCACGACGCGACGCGAACGCTTTCAAGCGTAACGTGGCCATCCATCGTCGAGTCCTCGGGACTTGAACATCCAGCATAATTATTAAAGAACGAAGGAAATCACTAAACGGAAGACGAATCGGGGGAAGAGGAAGGGGAGAGGGGGGAGAAAAGTCGATGATGCGAACGAGAGCTCGTCACGAAACTCTATCTCGCGACACAGGTAGATACGCGTTCGAAAAGTAGCGTGAGCGAACCGGTGAAAAGGAGAGGGAACGAGACAAAGAGAGGAAAAGAGGGAGAGTAAAAGAGTGAAAGAGAGAGAGAGAGAGGGGGGGGGAGAGAGAGATCCAACGGTCGGTGCTCGGGGTGGCTGGCTGCCTAATTGAAAGAGGTTTTCCGTGGGCGAGGGTAGACATCAGAGCGAACGAAGCGTTTCCAAGGAAACCCGGCGGCGGGCTCTCGTGTGGAGAGGGTCTCAGGCACCAATGGGGCTGCTAGGGAAAGGCGCCGGCGCCCAGCGTCGCTATACTATCGAGCGTCGCTATCAAAGATTTCTTGACTCGCCATGGCGGACCCGCCGCTCAACATTTTTACGAGGGCTGGGCCACCCCCGTGGATGTGTCGGACGGTGCCGCGTGCACACGTGGCTTCTCTGCACTCTGTGCATCGCCAGTTGCAACGCACTCGCTGCCAATGATTCCTATCCATTGCTTCTCGTAGATTTTGTTTCTTCGAATTGAAACGATTTCTTTTTTTTTTTTGTTCTGTTTTTTTTTTTATAAATATCGACCTCGCCGTTTCTTTCCTTTTTTCGAGATTTTCAGTTCTTTAAGTAAAATTGCTAACTTTCTGAGATTTAGCTTCAGCAGCGAAACCAATTCTTGAAAGATCAAACGATGGAATTCAACTTTTCTCTGTAGATAGCAATAAAGATCTTGTAAAACATCATGTTCAAGCGAAGAAAGAGACGTGAATATTCAATATCAGGATAGCGTCAAAGAACAGGATCAGTTTACCCTTTGTGAAGGCGCAGAACTACTCATGACCAATTAGGAAGGGAGGGTGAAAAAATGCTTTGCAAGTGGAATTGTCGAAAATTCCACGGCCTATCCATTTCGTCTAACGAAGGAATGTTCCATTAACTGTAAAAGAGAGAGAGAGTGAGGAGGAGGAGGAGGAGGGGGGGGGGGAAGGGAGGAGAGGGGAGAAGGAAAAGAACGATAGCGAATCAAACAATTGGCGCGAGAATCGCGGAACGCGAGCTACTATTAAATTATGTTTTTAACCGGGTAATTGGCAATACCAAGAATCGCCGAAAGAATACTTCGCTTATGAAGTTTGCAGAATTTTCCGCGCGAACAATCGGGACTTTTTAATCGAACGAAACAGAGTCAAGGCGCGGAACGTAGTTGCGAGATCACGGAATGGATCAGGGGGAACGGCGTCGGATGCAGCTAAAAATTAACCGGTTTTAATGCGATGATAGCGTTAGCGGAGGAAGAGCGCCAGCGGGGAAACGTTTCTAATTACCAACACAAAATACTTGAAATAGTGAAATGAAATATTACGATTTATCGATCTGTTGTAATTTATTACTACTTGAAAAGAGATGTAATTGCCGCTCCGTCTCTAATTGCTGTTAATTAACAACTATTATATTGCTTGCACGATAACGCGATCGACGAAACTGCTTTACAATCAACAATTACTTCGGTGCGGCATCGCGTAGCCAATTCCCGGAATTATGCGATGCATTCAATTACACTTTAATGTAATAACGTTTTCAATTGTGGCACTCGTTCAGCGTGGCCATGGTCAGACGACCGGGGGGAGGCCACTGTCTGAGATACACGCCGGCGATGCAATTTTTATCGCGATAATCAGAAATTTAATGAAGGCGAGGCCGGCCACGTATGAAAATCCAGCTCAATCAGCCGAAATAAAATAATCAAAAGCCGCTAACTTTATCGCTGAAAAATTTACGCGCCCCTCCACTAACCTTTCATTTGATTTAATTAGCAGTAATGGATATAATAAATTTTACATTAGACCGAGTTTTATTATTTCAAATAAAATATATACACACTCTGTATTTATCCTTTCTTTCATTCACTTCGCTTTTTTTCACCCCCATACTCCCGCTCATTTATCTGCCGGGCTGTTTGCTTTCCATCTGTACGCGTCCTGTACATTCTATCGACATTTTCTATATCAAAATATCAGATAGAAACAAAGAGGCACAGACGAAGAAGAGGATACTGTTCCTTTCTCCGGGAAGAAGAGGATACTCCCCTTTCTCGTAAACTACCCTCGTCCCAATCGATCTACCGTCCCTTCGATCCTACAAGTATTACACTCGAAATAATAAAATCGCGAAACATCGCGTTTCGCGCGCGTGTCCACGAAAAAAAAAAAAATGCTGCATCGGGGAGCAAAAATTCGACGATATTCGAAAATTATTCGTTGCAAAACGGCGATTCGACGGCCATAAATAATTTCGCAGCGCTCGTCGGATGCGCGCCAAAAAAAAAAAAAAAAAAAGAAAAAAAATGTCATCCGCCGGGAACGTCCAAGGGCTTTTTTTTTCCATCCCTTCTCGAAACCCTCTGCTGGCGACCAGGGGTCAATGGCTCTCTTTTTGGTGTGCGCGCGCGTTCGCTCGCTCGCCCGCTCGCACGGCTCGCGTCGCTGCGGCTCGTTGTTTTCGTTGCACGATTTTAGAAAGGTATACACACACGCACCGTTCCTTACCGTCAATCATTTCTAGAATATTAATTAACCGATCTCGATGCTTCAAATAAAGCTCAATCATCCGGCGATGCAACGACGAACGTGTCCGCCAATCCATACGTGATCGTGTAAGCGCGTCCGGGCGCGCGCGCTCTTTCTCTCTCTCGCACGTGTGCCCACGTTCAGACAAAAAGCTTTTTTCAGCTGGACATTTATCGTGAAGCCGACAGTCTATTTTCGGGGACACGTATTGGCGCTTTACGGTTTTAATTACGCGTATTTTAATCCGCCCAGGAGACATTTTCTGTTTCCAGAGCGGCCGCCGCGGAACGAGCTTTATTAGACCTGCACACAGCCGATTTAAATTTAATCATAATGAAGAGGCGATTAAAATTGCAATCGTCCACGGAATAGAACCCATAGCGGCGGGCAGTTAACGTCTGCTAACAGGCATTTAACTTAACTGCCTCAGGTAACTGCTCGTTTCTAGGCTGAAGGGTCCTTTCGATTACTACTGCCCGGAAATTTTATGGGACACGATCTTCCGTCGATGGCCACAATCTGTACGAAAGCTTCGCGACAAAAAGTCGGAGAAACGGAAGAAAAAAAGAAGACAACACAAAGAGAGGGGGGAGGGGGGGGAAGAGGGGTGTTGAGTGAGAAACGTTGCTTTTGGAAAACATCCCATTACAACGGCCGCTCGTTTTCCGGCCTTTTTCTCTCCGGCCGTTATCTGTCCGAATCTTCCGAAAACGTATTTAAAGGTATTTGTCGTGGATTAATGCTACGAGTGGATACGACTTCCGAAAGAAACGACGTCTAGGTTTATGAACCGAAGCCTGGGACTTTATGGTTTCAGTAGTGATAACATTGTGGACACAAACGAGTGGTTTCTTCCTTCGATCGATTCTTTTGATAAAAATCCTTCGTTTTCAGCAGGGTTTCATCAATTTTCAAGCTGCTTTTAAAAACTTCTAGATCCAATTTATTGTTCGACGATTAAAAATTTCCGCGTAGATGCATTTCCATTAATATTTCTCAATT